TACAAAATTAAGGTTATGAAAATAAGGTTACATAAGAATAGATATAATAATGTAATAGAAATTGAATAAAACTCAATATGAATAGAGCTGCTATGTGTCCAGGGTGTATGCAGTATATTATGTCCAAGTAGTGTAGTATGGTGAATACAATGAAAACTGTATGTCCATGTAGCCATTACAGGTGATTTGCTAAAGGAGCTGCAGGTTGGCTGTTTAGCAGTCTTATTGCCTGGAGGTAGAAGCTGTTCTGTAATCTGTTGGACTTTGACCAAATGCTTCGGTCCCATTTACCAGACGGTAGGAGAGAAAACAGTTTGTGACTGGGATAACTGGGGTCCTTGAGAATGGACGTGGCCTTCTTAAGACATCTAGCTGAGTAGATATCCTGAATGTTTGGTAGCTCACAGCCAGTAATGAGCTGCGCTAACTTCACCACCCTCTGCAGTATTTTGCGATCCCGGGCAGAGCAGCTCCCATACCAGGCAGTGATGCAACCAGTCAGGATGCTCTCAATAATGCACCTGTAGAAGTTGGCCTGGATATGTGATGGCATGCCAAATGTCTTTAGCCTACGGAGAAATAATAGGCGCTGCCGTGCTGTTTTGACCACGGTGTTGGTGTAGTGGGTCCAGGTTAAGCCCTCTGAGATGTTAACTCCCAGGAACTTAAAACTGCTGACCCTCTCCACTGCAGTCCCATTGATATAGATAGGTGTATGATCTCCTCCCTGGTGTTTCCTATAGTCCACAATTATCTCCTTAGTCTTACTGATGTTCAGAGAGAGGTTGTCCTCCTGGCACCATGGTGCCAGAGTTTCGACCTCCTCCCTGTACACAGACTCTTCACCATCTGTGATCAGGCCGATGATTATTGTATCGTCCGCAAACTTAATGATGGAGTTTGAGTTATGCCTGGTGACACAATCATGCGTAAATAAGGAGTAGGGGACAGGGCTAAGCACCCAGCCTTGGGGGGCTCCAGTGTTTAGAGCCAGTGTAGAGGATATGTTGGTGCCCACCCTCACCACCTGCTGACGTTCCGTCAAGAAGTCCAGGATCCAATTACAGAGGAAGGTGTTCAGTCCCAGGTCCTGGAGCTTGATGACAAGCTTTGAGGGCACTATGGTATTGAATGCTGAGCTGTAATCAACAAACAGCATTCTCAAATATGTTCCTTTCTTATTCAGGTGTGAGAGGGCTGTATGGAGGGCAGTGGCAATAGCATCTCCTGTTGACCTGTTCTGGTGATACGCAAATTGCAGTGGGTCTAGGGTGTCAGGCAGTGAGGAGGTGATGTATGCTTTGACCAACCGCTCGAAGCACTTCATGATAACTGATGTGAGTGCAACAGGGCAGTAGTCATTCAGGCAATGGTGGACAATGGTGGTTATCTTAAAGCAGGAAGGAACTATAGACTGAGCTAGAAAGAGAGTGAATATGTCCAAGAAGACATATACCAGCTGGTCTACGCATGCCTTCAGAACACAGCCAGGGATAGCATCAGGGCCAGGAGCCTTGCAAGGATTGGTCTTTTTAAAAACTTAACACACATCCGCTCTGGATATGACCGGTGGGTTTCCGTCTTAGATTTCTGGAATCTTCCTGACTGGATCTGCGTTACTGACCTCAAACTGAGCGTAGAATGAATTTAGCTCATCAGGAAGAGAGGCAGACTCTTGTGCGATACAGCTGGGTTGCGTTTTGTAGTCTGTAATGCTGCACATACCACTTCATGTTCCGTGTGTTGCAACCATGATGATATGACTCTAATTTTACTCTGTAGTTCTATTTAGCTATTTTGATAGCTTTCCTGAGGTCGTATCTGGATTTTTTGCATTTATCCTTATCGCCGGAATTGAAAGCAGCTGTCCTAGCTTTAAGTTTGGCACGTATCTCGACATTTACCCACAGTTTCTGATCTGGATATGTGGTGTCCATCCAAACTGAGAGGTTATGCAAGGATGTCATCTTAAGGTCAAAGCTTCAACGTTCAATGATTCAATTATTCAATGAAGGAAAATGGATGTCCCTGAGTTTACAATGTCCTGATCACTGCAAAAATTCAGCCTGTATGAAAAGGGAAAATAATAATTAATGCTCTACAGGAATGTAAATGAAACTGCCAACATGTAACAAAGGTTTTGTGATCACACAAAACAAAATTGAATCATTTTGGTCTAAATTAAAAATTTTACATCTAGTGCAAACCCATCACAGTACGTCACTGAGTAAAAGCCATCCCTACTGGTGTTGTGGTAGCAGTATTATGTTATGAGGATGCTTCTCATTAACTCAAAACTGAGTGGAAATTTGTATGGAGCAACGTACAGGCAAATAAAGAAGAAAATGCTTCAGTCTGCTCAAGACCTAAAACTGGGCCAAAATTTCACTGTTCCATAGAACAAACACTTCATTACGTAAGCTTTACTTGTGGTTTAACAAGAATAAAGCGAATCTCCTTTAGTCACATTCAAAGTACTGATTTGAACCCAATAAAATATCTATGGCAAGATTTGTAAATTGTTGTTTGTCAATGATAACCAATCAACTTGACACAAACTGTAGAAGAAAATTGGGTAAAAATTGCACCATTCTGCTGTGGAAAGTTTATACTTATCCAAAAACACTCACAGCTGAATATTTTTGTAAGGCACTTTATATATATCCATAGTCTGTTACAACCATGCACCACACCTGTCACTAATTCTTCCTCATTACCTCATTAATTCTACTCATCTGTTCCATTCACCATTTAAACCCTCAGTTCCCACAACACCTTGCTTGGTATTGGAGTCTCTCGTTTAACAATTTGCTGCTTGCTCAGTTGCTCTCACCATGTGTTTTCCCTTCCCCTAGTCTTCTGGCCTTTTGACCTTATTCTTTGACTTTTGGATTTCTCTCTTTTGGATTTGTTTGCTACCTGGAAATTGGCACATGCCGTATAGGGTCCTGCTTTAATTATGGCGTTTAGCCTTAACATAGACCTCAAGAACAGAGGTTGGTTATTTTCACATTTCATTCTATTCATATATTAATTAATGACATACTGTACATAATTTGTCACTTCTCAACCTTTGCTAAACATTCTGATGTGCTCAATGCAGTTTTTGCCAGAACAAAATTGACACATGGAAAATTTTGTTTGTCTTACATTCTAGGCTAGGAGGGCAAGTTGCATAAGGAGTTTATGTTGATAATTCACAGAGCCTTTTAGGTTAACTTCTAGAAGTAAGCTTAGTTGATTAAACCTGACATTTTGCTTCCTGTAAGCCCTGTTAATTCTTTGACAAAGAATCCTGCTTATTTGTTCAGTGAAACCTGAAATAGACAAGTGGAGTGTCTGCAGAATGTTTAACTTGACAAAACTGGGAAGATCATTCTAAAATAGTTTTTATTTTTGGTGGCAAATACATTTCTGATCTTTTTGTAGCTTCAGATTTTTTATTTTTTATTTTTTTTTGGGGGGGTGGGGGCATCTGATCTTCCATTTTGTTTTTTTGGTTTTTTTTTCCATTTTGTAAAATTGGGTTAGACAATCTTCCAAACATTGATGTTTTTCAGTTTCTTACCTGCATTTTAGTTAGTGTTTTATTGCAGTGTAGTTTAAGAAAAACAAAATGTCATGGGGAAATTATGTGAAAAACACAAATGTATTTAACAGAATAACAAATTGATTTATATTTCACAAATTATTTAAAAATACATTTTGTTTACTATGTGTTTTAAATGAACACATGAATAAATGAATAAAAAGTGCTAAATGGAAAACAGAATCATATGTTTTTTTAAACGTTTTGTCTCTCATTTCAGCAAGAAAACATTACATGAAAACATTCTTAATCATAGACATTAAATTTCATCAAATAATGTGGTGAAAGCTTTATTTATAACCTCAAAATAGAAAAATAATGGAAATATTTATGTAGATGTTTTGTACATATATGTTAAACATTTCATTTAAAATAACAAATTTCACACACATTTGTAATGATTAGATTTACATCAAGCTTAATTTCCAGTTGGGTGCTTTACTATTGTTATTTTTTGCTTGCACATAGATTTTCTATCATTTAAATGTCTAATATGAACTTTTGACTGCCTTTAATTTGTAATAGAAATGTAATGTTATATTGTTGAATCTTTTTTGTGTGCTTTTCACCCTTTTTCCTTTCTGTTGCTTTCTCTGCCACATGACTCCTGATGGTGAGATGTTTTCATTTTTATCCTCTGTATTTTGTAATGTACATCTCACATTTTTTCTGAGCATTTCTTCACTGTCATTATTGTTCTTGCTTTTAATGACTTTAGATTGATAATCCATTTGATTTTGCATAGATCTGAATTCACAGCAGATTGGATTTAATAATTTCTCTGCTTTTATAGATTAAAAATTCAGTAAAATCTTCAAAACAATTTCTGGCCAACTGAATTTCAGACCTATTCACATAATGAATGGAACATTCAGAAAAATATGTGAACAATTATTTCATTTAATCTGGAAATTGGCATGGTCCGCATAACAAAATTCAGATACCAAGGATATCAATGAGAATGGTTTTATGCCAATGAGCCCGACTTTTAAAAGAGACTTAAAGAAAAAAGATATTTAAAAGAAAAGAATACCTAGACTCTTGGCTTACGTTTTCACTTGTTGTGAATATTTTCTTCATTAGCTCAGTATTTAATGCTTTCTTTTTGCACTTCTTACACAGGGTGCTCTCTCAAATCAGAAAGCAAAAAAGAAGAGACAGGAGCCTGTCATGGTGCAGTCTAATGGCACTGATGCAAAACCCAAGAAAACTAAGTCAAAGAAGAGTGAAGACCTGTCTGGTGGAGAGGAGAGCACCCCAACAAAAAGTAAGGTCTATACTGCACTAACAGTGACAGCATTGAAACAATTAGTACAGATGTATCTCACTGTTGTTTATTGGAAACTATTTGAAAAAAGTATTTTGTAGTATTTAATTTGAATATGATCTGGCCAAGTACCAAACTTGTTTTATACAACACTTGTTTAAAAAGACAGGGTTTAATATGTGTTACCACATTTTAAGTAAGTAAGACTGCAAGTAAGACTAGTCTTTAACTTTTTTTTAAATTGTGGAGAATTCCCAATTCAGGATGGCCGTGTGGGCCCTCCAGCTTGATATTCAAGATAACTTTCGATCTATATCAATTCTAGCACTTTAGCAAGAGTTCTTGAAAAGACAGGAATTAAATATTTGTTTCATTAATGGTAGTAATGTCATTGATTTTCAGTTTTTGTTCCAAACATTACACTGAGAGTATGATTGGGAATGCAGACTCAAATATCTGTTTTTCATAGATTTTAAAAGTGCTACTTTAGAGAAAGGATTGTTCATTGCCAACTATTCTAGTTGATTTAGATCACATTTTACAAAGACTATTTTGTTTCCTTGGGAGAACCTCATCAGAAATGACTAATAATACATGTGGTGTTTCACAGGGATCTATTTTGATTACAAATGCAAGGAGGCAATTTGGTAATTAGTAACTAACTCATCCAAGCATCTCATCTAGCAGTTTCTTGAAAGAAGCCAAGGTATTGCCTTCAACAAAATGTTTTGGAAGTTTTTTTCATGTTATTGCAATCTGTTCTCTTCTTTAAATGCACTATAAATGTACTGTACATGGTTTCCACTTGTGTCCTCTGGTTCGTGTTTCACTATTCTGAAGAATCATTGTCAATCTCAATGCAGTTTCATAATATACTTCAAAACACCTCTATTTTCTCATTCAATCCTCATTGTTTGCAAGTTCTATACAAACTACACTATATCTTTAGAATGTTTTTGATGGTCTTGACCCATAAAGATTTAGAAATTCCTGATTCCTCTAGCTTTAGTTCCTGAACCTGAATATGCTTTTTGATATACAGTGCTGTATCTCTCCCTTTTCTTTCTTTTCCAAGACTTTTGAACAGTGTACATCCACTAATGTTACATTAATCTCCATTTTGTTAGCTATGTTTTAGAGTAACATTACTGCCTGATCATAACTGCCTGCTAATTGGGTAACTCCTATCTAATCAAATTTATTTATAAAGTTCAGGAAAATACAATCACGTTCTCCCTCACCTTACTCCTACTCTAGCTTGATTGATTAATGTATTTATGAAGCTAACCTGGTTATACATAAATGTACTGTAGGTTCAATTTGAATGTCAATTCACACCTTATTCTTGTTTTTTCACCTTTGTTGTTCAAATAAGATGGAAAGAAAGTGAAGAAAAAGAAACCAGACAAAGAAACTGAGTCTAAGAAGAAGACAAAAATGGCCCCCAAAAAGAAAAAAGGTGAGATGATTCGTGAGCAAGACAAAGTGGGTACCTAGCCTTGCAAAAGTATTTGGACTCGTGCAAATTTCTTACGTTTTGTCATTTTACACTTTGCGGTCATGGCATGTTAGAAATTAATATTTTTATAGACATAACCTAGTCCAAACATCCATGCATTTTACAACCACTTTATCTAGTACAGGGTCATGGGGTCGCTAGAGCTTATCCTGGCAAGCAATGAGCACATATCAAGATACATCCTGGGTGGGACACCAGTCCCTCACATGGCCCGCACAGTCACACATTCACACCTAGGGCCAATTATCCCAAAAGCCAATTAACCTCCCAATATGCTTTTGGACATAAACAAAACAAAACAGATTAAACCCACATGAACATACAAACTCCACACAGATAGCAGTCAAGGACCAGAATCGAACCCAGGGACCCAGCTTTTAGAGGCAGAAATGCTATTCATTGTGCCCCCATGACACCATTTACTCCAACAAAGGGATAAAACAAAAAGAAAGAAGTAAATACTTAAGAAATGTGGATGAAAAATGGAAAAGTCATGATTAGTTGGTCTCATCTGTATGAAATAACATTGGTTCACATGAAGTGAGAATAAACACATTTATCTTAGTAAAGTCCTTCAGTCAAGTAGGAATGTTAAGATTCAACCATGGAAATCAAGGCCTTTTCAAAACAACTCATTGATAAAGTTGTATGAAGGTACAGATTAGAAGAAAGGTAAACATGTCAAACACCCTTAATACAGTTATCTATTTGGGCATGGTTAAGTTGATCATTAAGAAGTGGAAGTCAACCAGATACTGTCTAAATCAAGCTGTCCCTCCAAATTAAGCATTGTAACTTTGCCATAGCCAAAATGTAAATGTAGTGGCTCTCTGAGGGCACCAGTTATGTAGGGTTGGGAATTTACTGGGACAATTATTAATTGTAGCAGTAAATCACAAAGCTGATTGTTTTGATGGCTTTAGAATCCAACCATGTGACATAACTCAAACAACGCGCACACACAGGTACTAATACACGAGGATACATTTATTAATACATAGAATATGCATATAAACCTAACAGATCTTATCAAAAGGGTTATCAGAATACAAAAGGTATATATTCAGTCAGTTACAAAGTGTTACATATATCAAGAGGACAAATGTTCAGT